ATATATATATATATATATATATATATATATATACACACACACACACACACACACATTTGAATAACAAAAATCATAAATTACTATATCGATACCATAGAACTCAATTAAATTTGTCAGTTTTAGTAACAAGGCTGTATTTGGGTCTAAACAAATATTAAATTTTGAGCAGACTAAAGACTCGACTTATCTCTATAACATCTTGTATCAAAAGAAAGATATAACGATTTTATATTTGAAAATGGCTGAAAAAGCCACTAGGGGATATTCTAAGCTTTTGATTGGTTATTCATGTCATATATACAAGTAAGTGTATATAAGGGAGCATTTCCAAAAATAGAAAGAGATGGGCAGAGTGCCACTGTGTTTCATTTATTAAATGACATGAGCAACATCTCAGCAAATAGAAAAGATAAGAGCCTCTTATTTTATATTCTAGCTTGTTAATATCGGTAATTTGAGTTTCTAATTCGTACAAAACTATAGACTTAGATTTTGACTTCACAAACATCTAATCTGAACCAGTGCTGCATTCAACATACCATGTGACACAAAAATCTATGTTTATCTGTGTTTTTTAATATTACTTTTAAATTAAGAAATTGAGTAATGTACAATACTAACATTTGAATTATAATCTACAGTTTGATACCAAACTTACTGACATACAACAAACAAGACGACATGGCCTTTCACCCATGACCCGTCTCGAAAGGGGTTAACTCTTCTTTTTTAAAGCATCCAATTAACTATTTTTCTAAAAAAAAATTTTTTGAGTTAATTGCCCATGAGAGAGAAGGAAGCACTGTAATAATTCAACAGAACAATATAATGCCAAATGACACAAACAAAGCTGATAGTCTATTCTCATTTTCTATAAGTTACAAGTTATAATGATAGAAAATACAAACATGTTAATCACTTACTTACGTAGAGACCACTAACATCCAGTACATTCACAACACTATAAGAAAACTACAACATGGAATAATGAAAACATACCATCATATGTGAAAAGTTAGAGCCTAGATAGTCCTCCTTTGAATAAATTAAAACTAAAATTGAGGACACTTGATAACAATTAAAGACAAAGTATACCAGTAGTACTTCTGCAGGGTCTCCGAAAGTGTTCTGTTCCATGAGTAAATAAAATCAAAATTATTGTCAAGAAATATACTGATTTCTTGCTTTTGTAGTTCATGTTATGCTGGATTGTAGCCTAGAGAGTGCATAATTCTTCTCATGATTCGTGACTTGCTCATGTTTTACTGAAGTCACGACAGTACAAACTGCAATGTTAATCGTCCCTTATGCAACGTCATTTTAGTGTCTACTACTGACTGACAGACTGTGTAGTGGTGCGAGTGGTTGAAACAGGTGACCCCTCCAGCTTAAAGTTAAAAGGATCAAATGTCAAAAGTTTCATGAAAAAACACTTGAGTATTTCCAACTAAGTGTAGATTCCAGAAAGGTCATGTTTTTGTATTAAATACAGGAATATTTGGGTAAAGCATCTTGAAAACTTTTTTTTTACTTTTTACTTTCACACGAGAAACAGACAAGAAATAAATATATAAATTTGCCAAAAAAAAAAAACACCAAAGAAACAATGGTTTATGTTGTGAAGAGGTGAATGGTTCTTCAGAATCAGGATATTTTTTTTGGAAATAATTTGAAGTGAAGATGAATATATAAAAACAGGCACTGAGAAAATGCTTGAATTATTTCACTATATGCAATAAGAAAAACTTGTATTTAATTTCACAGAAAAAAGATTATAAAAAATTAAATACATCCCAATGCTAGAAACGTGTATATATAAGAAAATCTTTGTATCTATACTGTATTTAACATGTAGAATATTAAAATATACATGTGACTTTAGCCTGTTTGGTTTCTATACTGTCTTTTAATAACAAATATCTGATCTTACTGGTTCCCTTATGATGGACAAAAATGTCCTTTTCAGCAGAATCCAGAACTGATTAAAATAGCTTGTTGGATAACCTCTTTCCCTTAAAGGCTGAGAAATATCCACCTAAAGTAAGAGAGAAGGAAAAACATTTATGAGAAGTATTTAGTACTTCAAAATTGAAAGAAAAAATTCCACAAGAATAATGGATGTTAACAAGATGAAAAGACATAAAGATACACAAATAAATATACATAAAAAACTCAAGATAATTACATACAGACCAAGAAACTCCTCTTCACCAGTAATGTTTCTTCCATGTTTTTACTGAATATATATGTATGTGGTTCTTGTTGAGTGTCTGCACTTACAAGTATTTTTGTACAGGCATTATTTCCACATATTAACATCAGATCTGTGTGAATCAGACCAGATAAAGATAAAATGTGAGCAAAAATGTGTGAAAATTATTAACAGGTAGGCAGATCAGTTACACCTTAGATATTATAATAAAAATACTGAAAAGTAATCATAAATTTAACTGTATACTTAAAAAATTATTACTATCAGTCATATAAAATGCATTTCAACATCATGAGCCATGGTAGTGGTTCATAATAGGGATTGTCCATTTTTTTATTATTGTTTTGCCAACCTACAGCAAAAACGAGAACAAGTATTAGATTCAAACCTTGACAATATTACTAAATGGATCATTGCACATTGCATAGGGTACTTTTTAAGTTATTTCTATATTTTGAATAAACCAAAAAAACATCATAATGCTAGTGCAAATGATGGTATCATTACCCTTTGAAGTTAGTTTTCTTAAAATTATCTGATGTTCCTTTAAGAAGCTTGAGTACAGGGTGAAACAGGAAATAGTAGCCAATAATAGATGAACATTAAATGACTAACATACAGATACACAGATATTCAATGTTTTGTACATTATACAACTGGTGTCTTTTGGGAGCCAATCCCTATATTATGTAAGAAGTGGAGTAAAAAAAAAGAACAATACATATGTTAAATTTTGTTACAGACATTTATAGAATAACTACTTAAAAGACACAAAGGATTATTTACAGTGACGTTTTAGATGTATACATTTTATTTGAAAAGGCTGCTTTTCTACTGGTAAAATTTTGATGTGCTTAGTAGGGGATTGTGTCTTAGTTTAGGCATATATATATATATATATATATATATACCCATTGCTATATAGAGAATTTAGTTACACAGAAACTATAAATGCTCAATATGTTCTCAAACAAATCTTCATGACAATCTCCAGCTGCAGCTTAAATTTCTACATCTCAAACTAATGCAATCAAGTAGTTAATAGCTGCAGTAAATCATCATGAACAGTATCAGCTAGTCTCCCACAACAGATATCTTTAAGCTGTAGTTTAAAAGATTGCATCAAGCTCAGTTTTGAGCATCAGATTGGCAATCACAGTGATTGCTGCTCCAAGTGTCAACTTATAGCCCACACTGCCTAAATGCAGGTTTTATAGATATTGCAGATAGAGTAGCTATCATTGAAGTACACTATAAGAAGTGGCAAAAATCGTGCAAGCAGGAGATAGCAAAAATGATGGCAATTCTAGACAAAAGTGAGGCAGAAATTTTTTTATTTTATTTAGAAAATAATTAGCTTTAGATAAAGGATGCAGCAGTGATGGCCCACCAGAGTTTAGGGTTATCATAGTGAAAGAAGTTCATAGAAGTGTCACTACCCAAACTACATCGGAAATGGAGGTTGGGGAGGGATATGATCAACTCATAATTGTTAATTAACACATTTTTGACCTTGTAGAGTGTGAAAAATGTCAGTCTAAGAGGAAATCTGGCCAGCTGCACCAAAATCATGGAACTATAAAAAGTATTATAAATGCTTAGTTGTATACACATTATATTATGACACATTTTCTTTTATTTGCATTGAATATATATGCATGCATCTATACAACTCAAAAAATTCATATAGCTATCTATCTATCTATATATACAGCTTTAGAACTTAAAAGAAAATCTATAAAGCCTGCATGTATATATAACTACTAGCCAATGTATTGCATGTGTACCATGTACCATTCCAGTATAATTCATTAGTCCTTCCAATACAGCATTTTTTCCCATATAGTTACAGGATATAAATATTCAAGCTATACATATATTTTATAAGCATATACATAATGTGGTATCTTGATCACCATGCATCATAGTGATCATATATACAGTACCACTATCAAAGATAACATTGTGGCAATGATATCAGGAGTACTAGCCATCCAATCTGTACGAAGCGAATTCAAAGGTTGTCATTGTTTTCCGACAGAGCATCATACACCAACTATGTATTTCATTAAACTAAACTGTTTCAGATACGACAGTATTGCTATCATATCCACTTTTGCCCATGATGGGCATAAAAATAAAAAAACAAGATTATTAAAAATTGTGAATATTTAAAAAGAGAAATATGTATCATTAAAAAAACACAGAAACAAGACAGCTAGCTTAAAATGAAAATGCAGTTACTAAAAAGTAAACATTCAAGCTTAAGGTTTACTTTCTTTGCAATTGCATTTTCACTTTAAACTAGCTATCTCATTGCTGTATTGTTTTTACAATCTCTATTCCCCTTTGCAAATTAATAATTTTTGATAATTTTGTAATAAAACCTTCATGATTTGCTGTTTAAAAATACAACCATATTATGAGTAGAATGATTTAGCAGTGCTTCAATTATAGTTTTTTTAACTAACCTAGCAAAAGTACCTGTGCAATGCATGGTGAAAGGTTTATGAAAGTTGATTTTTGTTTACAAAATATGCCAGTGACAATATAAAGATTAAAAGTACATAAGAATAAAAATATTCATGTCCACTGGGCTTGATTAAGTATATTACATTTTCTTTACTTTTTTAATCAAAAAAGTAATAACTAACATGTAACTTAAAAATATCTCAACCCATTCAATAATTTGCTCAAAATAAATCTGTATTTCAAAAAATTTTTTTTTTCAGTTCATTTACAAATGAAAACCTGACATAGAAGGGGTTAATATATGGATGTCTATCTTGAAAGTATGTATAGACAATGTGTGAAAAAAATCCCTCAAAATGATTGACAACAAAACAAAATGCAATTGTAGAATTAATGTTTTACTAGTTTTGAATATCAATAGTTTTTCTGCTTTTGTCCTAAATATGCTAGCAATGACTAAAAGTACACAGGTTATATGTATACCCTATGTAATGAGAGAGAAAACTGGCATTATCCCATGATTACCCACTAGTGGCCAACCCCACTGACTGATCCATATTTAGCCAACAATTGAGTTATGAAATCTATGCATTTTAAAGGGAAAATAACTTCTTGACACACTCAGTATCATTTCTAGTTGATTAAATCATATTTGTCTAGTCCAAATGCAAACACCTACAAGAAGTTAAAGGACAAACAAACCCACAACTTATAGTAGGATTAGCATATGATTAACATTGCACCTTCTGAAATATTGTAGTTAAACTACTGTTAGATAACATAATATTGCACAAGAAAATTTAGCTTGTGTCTTCTTTTTTAATGTAATACAGGAAGTTTTGCCACATGAAACTCAAAAGATCAAGTATACATTTCTAAGATAATCAATGTGCATTATTGTCATGTCAAACATTTTTAACTTTCTTGAGGTAGAAGTTTGAAATTTATAAAAGTTTGGGAGGATAAATAAAGAATTCAAGAGGGCTACATTTTAATTTAACAAATGCCCTATGCATAGACTTTAGAAACCTCTAACAGTGACATCACACCGTATTTTGATATAGTCTTCAATGTGTTGTATGGATGATATTTGGGGGTAAAAAAAAAGGTAAATAAGCCAATAAAGGATAATGGTCAAGGTTATAAGAATTTTGCTCCAGTTAAAATATGAAGATGACAAGAAGCAGAGTGCTCGGTGTCTTTGGGTGTATTTTTTATACAAAACAAAAATGCTTGAGATTTAAATTTTGCTTAATTAGAGAAACCAGCCAGAAACACATTTTGAATAGTTATTTTACGGGGAAGTATAAAATGAGAAAATACAACTTTGTTACACAGTATTTTGGTAAACTTCTTTGTACATCAACAATAAGAAATCTGATAGCAATACAGTTACAGCTATAATAATTAGATGTATGTTTAGTGTCCTCACACTCTTTGGTCACAATTTCCATACCTTGTCATTTAGTAAACTCTCACTCTGTGCTGATTCTTCTTCATTGGGTTTGATGGCAGGGTTTTTGACAAAATAACGGTTGCTATCAGAAAAGCTATTAGAATTCTGGATACAATGTTTCTTTTTAAACTTACTAGAAGCTAATACGAGTTTGTCTATATGGTCACCATACTCCCTGGAGGCAATCTCTGTAACTAAGGGACATCTCTTATTACATGAACCTTAAATTAAATAACAACACTGATATGTACACATTATCATTATTATATTTGAAAGTGAAGGAATTATTACTGATCTACAAGAGCCTCTTTAATTTATTAAATGAAACATTTTAACTCAAAGAGCAACAATCAGCACACTTCAACAACATACTCACTATAACTTAAAGTAATTGTTTAGTACTGTTACAGTAATCACATATTATGGTTGGTTGAAATACATTAAATAGCTTGTTATTTTTAAATACATACATACATATATATATATATATATAAAACACATCTCAATGTGTACATATACATATGTATACATAAAAAGTTATCAGACCAGAAATTATACAGTCATGCATGTTATTTACAGGTTATCTTAAAAACTCATTAATTTAGTAATACAAAAAGAGAGCTTAATAACTATAAAATTACAAATTCTGGAAAATCTACTTTTTATACATCTCTACAAGCTTTCAGCATGAAAATGTGCAGAATCATCAACTTGTTTTTTTATTTTTAGTTTAATGAACTGTTCACTGTTACAATAATAATGTTTCACTTTTGAAAACTTACCAAAATCAGCAGGATTGTGATATGTTGGGCATTCCAAACCCTGAGAGGACAGGAAATACAACAGACTGGGTACTGGACCTTGATATATACATTGCCCTTCTGCAAGCATGTATAACTTAATCACAGAAAAACAGGAAAAAATTATTAATAGTTGAATATACTGATGTTATTAATCAGTTGAAACTATATTTATCACAGTCAACTATGCAAGTTTTTTAACCAGCTTCATTCACTAGACTAGGTTACAGAGGTTTGACTTAACTACAATACACCTGTTTAATTACTACAAATACAATAAATGAATTTACTCCATAAATAGATAACTCTAGAACCTATCAGTTAAGACAGATTTTTTTTAATGATAATTCTAGTATTATTATGTGACTCTTAGCACAAGCAGAACAAACACGTGATTGTTAAGTCAAATTCGGTTGCTCTTAAAATGACTAATATTTTTTGGCCAATTAGCTTCAAATATAGATATGATCTAACCACATAGAAATTGAATGCAATAATTAGCTACAATAAAACATTCTCTTCACAGCCTCCACTTCTGCCTTCACGGATTATGCAGGTAAAAATTAACCACAAACCAATAGTTATGATTAGGTTAAAGCAACTAGGCATTTATAAAAAAATGTATACCTGTATCACATATTTTCTAAACAATCCTATTCATAACATACAACAGAATTTAAGTCAAAACCATTCATGTGTAATGATGTCTTTCTACAGAGTTTTTACTTTAGGATTTTATCGAAATAAGCTTAGGAAGTGTACTTTGTTGCTTGTAAAAAAACAATTATTTTAGTCGACAGTCAAGACTGCAGATCATACATCACGTAACATACAAAATATACCTTCAAAATCTTTTACAGAAATCTGAAATTTTATAGATATCATGTAACAATTTCATTCAAGCAGAAGCAGCAGTATGAGTTAACTTTAACTTCTGATAAAGTGCTGTAACATCCTACAATGGAATAAAAGGTAATAACTTTAGGATTAACATGTTAAAAATAGCAAATATGTTATTACAAAAATGCCTATCTCATGAGAGAAAAATTTTTTTTTTACATACAACATACTAGTAACACTATTCCAAAGTTATTTGGAACTTTTGCAAGAGTTGATTATGAATGAATCTGCTTTAATTATTGCATCATTCACAAATCATAATATGGTGTAGAAAAATGCCAATCAAGTTCAACATTTAGGAGCATGGAATTACTGAGTGACCATAGTTTTGAAATCTACCTAAAAGCTGAAGCAGTTTCAGAATGTTCTAAGGATGAGAGTATGTTTTAAGAATTATATATATTACATAGCATACAATTATGATTCCAGTGTTAACACCACTGTGGTAGACTATTTCACATACTTTCAATTTAACATACTCCATTCTATGTATATCTTCAATGTACTGAAAGCTTCTCCCAGGTTTTTTTTGTGCAATTTTGTTTGTTTGTTCTGAATTTCACACAAAGCTACACGAGGGCTATCTTCACTAAACATCCCTAAT